ATGATTTCTCAGCATGGGAAAGATTGATATATCATCTAGTATTTTAACAACATACTACATTACTGTAATTTTTTCTTTTAGCACAGAAAATAGTACCTCAATTTTTCATTACTATTTCTTAAATTTATTTCTAGCAGCTAATTTTGGCTTATTTACTGTATGAAAGAATGTTCTTTCCTCTTATTATGTCTGAAATACATTTCTTTGCAATTCTAGGATATCTCATATCTTTTTCTGCCTATCTTTCACGTACTGTGGGGGTCACCCTGAGATTAGAGTAATTTCTGCTTACCCATTTGTTTGGAATCTTGTCACATAACCGTTTGATCCCATACATCATGGTTGGCAGTGTGTGCACAACAGAAAGATCCAGGAGGTGCAATTCCAGCTGCAAAGGAGTAGTTAGTAGTTGCCGTGGCTGGGGTAAGTGGGGAAAGCAATCAGACAGGATTTTAAGATCAGCCAGGGAAAGGAGAAAGGAGGCCGCAACAGAAGCTGTGAATTGGCTGTTTTGAAACAAGTGGTAGAGAGTGGATGACCTACTGAGGGGAAAAAAAAGAGATGATTCCTGTTGCATTCAGTCTTCTGTGAGGGCGTCATTGAGTGACAGGTTTCTTTGAGGGTAGTGTCATTCGGAAGAATTGTGTTGAGTTTGCGTGGCAAGGTTTTGGTAGTGGAGGGGCTACTGGGGTGGCTTCTGTAAGAAGCTGCTAGAAGCCTCCCCTGTGTCTGATAGAGCCAGTGGCAGCTGGCTCCAAGATGGACCCACTGCTGGCTAAGACCGAGCTAATCAGTGATGATGGTAGCACCTCTGTGATAACATGTTTCATAAGGGGAAAATACTGCTGTGCGACAGCAGCCAGAGGAGAGGAGTGAGAATACGTGAGAGAAACAACTCTGCAGACAGCAAGGTCAGTGAAGAAGGAGGGAGAGGGAGGTGCTCCAGGTGCCAGAGCTGAGATTCCCCTGCAGCTCATGGTGAAGGCCATAGCAAGGCAGGCTGTCTCCCTGCAGCTCATGGAGGTCCATGGTGGAGCAGATATCCACCCTGCAGCCCATGGAGGACCCCATGCTGGCGCAGGTGGATGTGCCTGAAGGAGGCCGTGAATTCATGGAGAGGCAGTGCTGGAACAGGACCCTGGCAGGACCTGTGGACCCGTGGAGAGAGGAGCCCATGCCGGAGCACTGGTGACTCCATGGGGGACTCATGCTAGAGCAGTCTGTTCCTGAAGGACTGCACCCCATGGAAAGGACCCATATTAGAGCAGTTTGTGAAGAGCTGCAGCCCATGAGAAGGACTCATGTTGGAGAAGTTTGTGAAGGACTGTCTCCCATGGGAAGGACCCCTTGCTGGAGCCGGGGGAGGGGGTTGGGGGGGGCTGGAGAGAGAGAGAGAGAAGGAAGCAGCAGCAGCAGAGATGATGTGTGGTGAACTGAGTGCAACCCCCAGCCCTGCTGAGGGGGAGGAGGAGGTAGAGAAAATCAGGAGTGAAGTTGAGCTTGGGAAGAAGGGAGGGATGAGGGGAAGGTGTTTTAAGATTTGATTTTATTTTCTCTTCTCATTACCCTACTCTAATTTTGGTTGATGATAAATTTAATTAATTTCCCTAGGTCAAGTCTGTTTTGCCTGTGACAGCAATTGGTGAGTGATCTCTCCGTGCCCTTATCTTGACCCATGAGCCTTTCATCATGTTTTTCTCCCCCTGTCCAGTTGAGGAGGGGAGAGAGAGAGTGTTTTGGTGGGCACCTGCTGTCCAGCCAAGATCAACCCATCACAAGAATACAGACGAAACCTGAGAATTTCTGGCAGGCTAAAAGGTCTGAATCTCTTCACACTTCAGGAACAGCTGTTAATAGGGAACACATAATGTAGTCTACTTGTTCTCCTGCTGCAGGCTGAAGGTGGAGATAGGAGCAAACCCTGCCTATGGTTCTAGCCCAAGACTTCCTCTTACTGAACACTTTGTGGTTAGGTAAATGCAGTCCTACCGATGTTAGATACATGTGCACACGTACAATTACTTTTAATACATGTAGTCCTGATAGTTCTTTAATTTTTTCTATTTTATATCTAGCATAGAGTTGTATTTCTGAAGTTTGAATGCATTTGTGGGAATATGCAGTTTCTTTCCCATATTATGAGAAGCTATTTATAGGTGAAGAGGGAGTGTCAAAGCTGAAACAGGAGTGGAAAGAGAAGTGGGTTGAGGCTTGGTGAGGAGATACGGGCAAATAGTCTTTGCTGTTGTAAAAACCGGAGAATTACTACTTTAAGCTGTCTGTTTGCAAATGGGGAGGATGGAGAGCTGAAAGGTTCTAAAATAACCCTGTGTAAGAGCAAAGTCATTCAAAATTAAGCCAGACATTTCACTTTGGAAAAAGAAAGTCACAATTTAACTTTCTCAAAATCAAAGCTTTTCATTCTGGTTTTGAAACCAGCTTAGAGTGCTGATAAATCAAGCACTGTGCCTCCCCTCTCCCCCGAGACAGCAAAAAGAAGATCCGTAAGTAAAATAGAGGATTATGCTATAGCTGCACGGCCTAGTGTCTGTCCTGTTAAGGGTTAATGTGTTTATTGAGTTTTGTCTACCATGGTTTGGTGTTTTTGTATTAGTTCCTCTTTGGTTTACTCTTTTTAAAACAACCACACTTCAGCTCTTTTAAAATCTTTTGTCAATGACTTGTTTAATAAATATATTGACAGGCATGTAAAAAAATTGAGTTATTTCAATAACGTACGTTATTTCCTTTCCTTTTGCCACAGAGTTGTTCTGTGACTCTCTAGAATAGGGGTGAGTCTTCCTTTTTGTTCTGTTCGTTTAACGCCTTAGACAAAGTGGGTTTTTATCAGTGCTCGAGCAGTAAATACTCAGCAAGCTCTAATACTTTGAATCCTACACAAAAGTTGCGGTTCCTGGTGTCTTCTGCTGCATCAGGTCTGCAGAAGAGCTGTTGGTATTGCAACTGTAATGTGAAACTAGCACAGAAAGGGTGAATCAAAAAGGCTAGAGAATATTAAGACTCAGCAATACCTTGTATTGGATAAAGGGAGAATAAATAATTAATCTTATCTAATTTTCTACTAATCTAGGAAGAATGTAGTGAGAAAAGCCTGTAGAGCTTTGGGCTAGGTGATAGCTGCAAACGTTCAGTTTTCCAAATGTTTCCTAAGCTCTCCAATCAGTTTATTTTACACTTGCGTCTTAGCTGCAGAAGAATGTAGTTGTCCTTTATTAAAGGGGAGGGATTAATGGAAACGTTTGAAGTTTTCAAAGTTTTATTTCACAGAATGTTTATTTATTTATTTATTTATTTATTTCCTGTGGAAGCAAATATTTGGAAATGTAAGCTGTTTCTAACAAAAAGAAAACAGGAAGGTAGGAAAACTGATCACAGAGATATAAATGTTCTATTTTCATTTTGAAGTGAAGCATGAGAACGTCAGGTTTTCAACTTCATACTCTAATTCAGGATGGGATAAGGAGGGAAGCAGTTTTCCATACAATTATATTATGCAGTCTTCCACAAAGATGATGTTTTTTCTCTGAGCTCTACATTCAGTTTGCCTGCCTGATCTCTTTTCCTGAGGGAATATTTGCACGACTGTGTGTCTGTGGTGCTGTTGGTTTTGTTTTAGTTTCGAAGCAACCTTCTGTCCGTGCTGTGGAGCTCAGTTACATGGTATGTGACTTCTCAAAGCAGAGCACTGCCTGGGGTTCTAGCAGTTCCCTAAAGCTGTGTATCGTGGAGGTCTGTGTCACCTTCTCACTGATCTTGTTTTCTGTCAAAGGGAATTAAAATTGACTGTAGCTTCTACAGAAGCTTTGGCCTCTGTTTTAAATGTTGACTATTAAAACGTCATTATTGTTAACCTTCAGCAAGGCATTTTGCTAAATTTCCTTACAAACCTTACAACAACAGTTTTTCTCTTAATTCTACTCTAACTTGTTTTCAACGATTGTTATTTACATCTTTGAGTTCAGTTTCCTTTCTTACTTTTCAGTGTGCTCAACCTATTCTTTCTTAATCAGTCTATTTACCACAGTGTAGGGAGGCTTTGAAAATATAATAATTAAAAAGTCATGAAGTTCATAATAATACATTTTTACAGTATAGTAACTTGGACAAATGGAACTTTAATCTTCATTGTTTACAAAGTCTTCAGATACTTTTTCTAAAGCTTTCGAGTGTGAACCTATAATTTTTTTGCAAGGTAAATGTAAGAAAAGAGACTTGTGTGCACGTATAATTTCCTGCAGACTGTAAAAATGGGGAGAGAAGTTTTAAACATCTCCTCTTTCTTTTGGCTTTAGGAAGGATTTTGGAAGCTTGCTGATTTGTTTAAAGAACAGCCTGCTCAAACGACATTGATTTTTATCTGCTATACAAGCATGCGTTTCATCTTCATCTGGATGGTCCAAATCTAGAAACAGATTAACTTTCTCCCTGACAGATGATATTCATATCTGATAGTAAATAAGTACTCTAATTTGCATCCTATACTAATGTCTGTAAACTTACAAATGACCTTATTTTGTATTTCTTACTGATGCTTGAGAAATGAAAAATGTCTATTCTTAAACTGTGATTAGATGTTTTCTGTAGGAAAGAAGGAGGAGAGTCAGTGTAGCTTCCTTGAGTGTCTTGGATCACATACAAAGGAAAGAAAATCTAAACCTAAATTAATAATGGAGAAGAAAGTAGAATTTTCATACTTTTCCTTACGAAGACTTTCAGAAAGTATAAGTCACCTCATTAAACCTCCTATGAACCTACTGTTTTAAGAGACGATATTCTCTAACATAGTCTTGACATTTTTACAGGCCTTTGGTAGTCTCAAGCTCTTCGTTTTTGTAGGTAAGTATATGGTATGTTTGGATCAGAACATTAACATCCATTTGTGGTAGTTCTTCACATTTAGTCACTATATCAACCCATAAGAATTTAATAACTGCATAGTGATATTTCTTATGACAGCAGATGTTTTTGGACCTTTACAGATCATGAGCCAAGTTGAAGGACAACAAAAGAATCTTGTACAAGCCATCGAAGCTCTCCCAAGTTCTGGGCCCCTTTCTGCCTTGGATCAGGACTTGCTGCTTTTAAAAGCTACCTCTGCTGCCACCCTGAGCTGCCTTGGAGAATGCCTGACTCTGTTACAGCAAAGCATGCATCAAGTAGGCCAGCATCATAACAGGACACTGTCATCAGGTGAGCACAACCTCTCTTGGCATTATTTTATGTGCTTTGGGGTTTTTCATTATGATACTGAAGCAGGCAAAATTAACCATTCCTAAGAGAGGCAAGTAGAGGTGAGCAGCTTGTAAGCTTCTACAGCCTCAGGTGTTGTAATTTTTTTTTCTTTGCTTAAAAAAAAAAAAAAGCAAAATGTATTGAAATCAGAGGAGTCTTAAGTCTTCGTAGGGAAATCAGGTTCTGAAGACTGCGAGACAAAAAAAGGGCAGGCGTGGAGAACAGGTAGATAAGCCTATATTCTTGATGACTGTGCAGAACCTGCTTGGTTGGAGTTTGTTTGTGTGTGTGTTTCCTTTTTTAGATTGAAATCACAATACAGATTTGTTTGATAACAATACATGTAATATTATGCAATGTTATAGTGAAAATCATATTTCTAGTCTTCTACATGGAAGGATGCTGTTGAGGCAGATTTATTCTAGTCTGTGGTTTTCTTTAAATGTGGAAAAAGTTCTCCATGCTGTTATTTAAAAAAAAAATAAATCTGTGGCAAATTTTTATGAGCCTAAAATGTCAAACAGTATGATTCTGCATTGAACTCTGCAGGCATGAACCTCTCAGTCTCCATGTAGCTTAATTTTGTTCAGTTCACCCAGTTCTGTGTCTGTGTGCGTAACATTGGAAGTTGGACCTTCAGCTTTCTGAAAGGGTGGTCAGTGTTCCAGACACAAACTGTCCTTACTTACTGTAGGTTTACTACAGGGCAGGATATGCCCTCAGGGCTGCTGAGACAGCTAGGTAGGAAGCCCTCGGTGCAGGCAAATGACATAAAAAGAGTTCTTGGAAAAAAAAAATTGTAAAAACTTTGACACCTATACTATAGTATGTCATGACTTTTCCTGCATCCGGATTCTGATATATTTCGTAAAGAAACATAAGTGAACAAGAAATTTTCTTATTTTCTGTATTCTAATTTTCTTGTAGAAAATGCAAAAAAACCTTACACATATCTAAATAGTAATGATGAAGTGCATTTAATTGAATTCTTTGAGATAATTTCATTTCAAAAGAAACAGTTTATAACAGAGATGAAAAGCAACCTTAAAAGAAAAGTCACTTTCTAGTTTCAAAGTCCTTGAAGGTTGTTTTTCATGTCCGTATGATCTAAGTGAACTGTCAGATGATTTGAGTTTGTACATGTCCTTGAATCTGTGTCCAAATAATCTTCTGTTAAATCAGTGCCTGTATTTTGACTTGATAATGATTTTCGAGAATCTGTGCACAACAACAGAGAAAACAAGCATAACATTAGAAATTGCTGAAATGGAATCCCATGGTTTTTGTAAAAAAGTGGAAAGCCATGACTATAAAGTACTTAGTAAAATTTAATAAGTGTTTTTGTTTGTTCCTCCTAAGACTTTAAACTTGTACAAGAATCCTTTCAGGAATCAAAATTCTGTAGCAGTGGTTCACATCAGCATCTTTGGTGTAGCTGTGAGAACCTGAATGCAAACAGTTTATTCTTCAGTGTGTACATGTGCATGTTCTTCAGTATGTAATTAAAGAAAAAAGACAGAGAGGAACTAAAAGCTGCTGAAATATTTAGTCTCTCCTCCCTGACTGAAAGAGTTTGTGAAACGATTCCCCCCCCTGCCCGGTTGCTCTTTTCTTTTCCCCAGACCTTGTTATGCAACATAGTTGCCTGAAAGAACCTGGCCTGAAAGTCTTGATTACTGATTTTTGTACACGCTTAATATTGTCCAGTCATACTTTGATAGACTTTACATTTCTGCTGAGTCGGTGGAGTTTCACAGTCATCAAAGCTGCGTAAAGTCATATTACATCAGATTAATGCCTTTAAGTAATCCTCTAGCAAACTCTAATTCTGAGAGATAATATATTTCATTTTAATTCTGTGTCCTCCAGGTGAATTTTTTAATTTCATATCCAGAAGGTGCAACAAAAAGATGACCTTTACTGTCACCTCTTGATACTGGCAGGTGAAAATGACTCTCTTTAGTTTAAAAGCCATTATGTTCCTCTGATAGGAAGTCTCAGACACCTTTCCCGTGAGATGTGATGGCCCTGTGCAATTTATTGTCAAGTGTTTCCATCCTGGTGCTGTCTCGTTACCTTCTGCATAGAGTCCAAGATGCTAGTGGGCATTGTAGGGCAGGAGTCCCCAAATTTTGTAGAGAGAGACAAAATAGGAATTTGGTAACTTATTTTCTTGCTTCTCATGAAAGCATTCCAGTCCAGCACAGCTGCACAGTCCAGTGCCGCCCCTGTGGAATGTGAGAAATAACCAAAAGCTTAACTTTGGTGATTTGAACTTGCCCTAGAGTGTACCCTCCTTCAGCATCAAAAGCTCTCACTGTTATGCCTTGAAGAGAGGATTGCCTGAAAAGTAGATATGTATCTATTTTCTCTGTACCTTTTCTCTGCTTGTTTCCTTGAAGTCTTCATGGCTGATTAAGCAAGGATTGCTGTTGCCAACTGTGCGCACTGTAGGCATAGACCTTGTGATCTTACTGTTTCTAAAGCAAGGACTTAAAGTAGCTGAGAGTTTCTGACCTGGTACTTATAGAATGCACTCATGAAGATTATAATTAAATAGAAGCTATTTTAAACAGATTTACAGAGCTTTATTGTTTTAAACAGAAAAAAAAATTATCCTTTCTTTTGATATAAATACCTTTATTGCTTTGTTTTCCAGTAATGAAAGTAGAAAGAAAGCAGTTTGATATTCAGTTTAGTGGAGTTGGGGATGAGGGTGGACTTGAACTTCATTTTAGCAGCTTCTCTGTTGTCTCTGTTTTGGAGAAAATTAATGGACAGGAAAGACAAAATCTACGTGCTTTCAGTTTGGTGACAAATGACAGCTAGGTATCTCCTGCAGTTGAGATGGCAGGAGGAGGCAAAAATGAGCAGAGTCCTCCTCCTTTTTCTTGCTTAACCCCTTCCCCCGCCTCCCTCCCAAATGTGTGTAGACACAAAAGCGTGAGGAAAGAAGACAAGGGAGAACATACTCTTTGTTACTGGTGCGGTTTACTAAATTCGACAGTCAGTCAGGTCTCCCTTAAATGCATCATCACTAGACTTGCTTCTGTTGAGAGTAACCAAAACAATTTGCTGTTCTATCTAAATGCTAATGCGTTATTCCTTATATGTTCTTCTTTCTTTGGAAGATAACGTTATTTGCTAGTCTCCGCACAGCATTAGCAGATACAACGTTGTCTTTCTAATCTGAAAAGCAGGTGTGCAGCTGCCACTTGCTGTTGCTGGTTCAGTCTGCTGTAGGATTCAGCAGAGCAACAAAACTGTCACATCCATCCCTGACAGGGGAAGGAATCCAGGTCTAATCTTGGTCTCTCTTCAAGGCCTACTGTTGTGTTGTTAAGGGGATATTTGTTAGAGTATAGTTACAGTATATTCTAAGAGTTTTATCAGTAGATATTAGCTTACAGTTGTGCCAGGAAAAAACATAAATGTGTTTTTTTTAGTTTATAAACTGAGACCAGAGGACTTAAAAATAGAAAGGTTTTTGTTGCAGGATTGAGGTAGGTATTAAGCATATTTCATGCACCAATTATCATGCAAAAATGTAGTTTGAAAGTACATCAGGTACCTAGAAAATCAGAACCAACAAAAGAAAATTACCAACATTGCTTAACTGAAAAATTGCTTAACTGTAAACCTTCTCTTTGGGGAAAATTTCCGTCCCTTCTGCTATGTGCACCTGTGAAGGGCAAACATGTTTCTCCTGAGGACCTTTGTGTGGGATAAGCCTGTTGTGCCGTCTGAAGTAGGTGAGGTTTTGTGAACTGTAGCATTGCTATATGGAAAGGAGAATAGGTTGTGTCTGGATGCTGTACTTTTCTTATGTAGCAGTGTTTTCCTGTGCCTTGGTGGATTTGTCTGCTGCCTGTTCATCACAGTGAAAATCAGTGTTGAGGGGAAGTGGGAAAGAAGCTCGCTTTTGGGTATTTTCTATAAGAACTCTCACTTTGTGTGTACATACGCACCGAATTTCCAGAGGAATCAGGCTTGGATTTTCACTCCTGGAACCACAGAACCAACACCATGCAGGTAGAGGAGATCTGACTGATTTTACTAGTTGTGTATTTGGTACGTCCTTTCTAATTTTTACATAGTTTACTGCAGAAACAGATGTTTTGTTTTCATTTAGTGTAGTGCTTTGCATAGTCTTATTGCAAATAGTAAGGTAGCTGTGTAGCTATGAATGCTTTTGTATAATTTGTGACTGCCTTTCTTGAGAATTTATTTAGAATTATGAAACACATCAGAATAAAAATTGAATTTACCTTTCTGTCCACTGTCTTATGGCTATAACTGAGAACAGGGCAAAAATCTGGCTTAAAACCAAAACAGTGACAGCAGTTTCTTCCTGTTCTTACTCAACTCTGAAGATAAACCTTATTTTCTCATAATATGTTTTTTTTAATCTTTTTTTTTTCTTCCTGAAGTCTTTAAAAGAACAGAAATCAACTATCGATAGAAAATTTTGAGTGCCATAAAGTGGCAAAGATGGCAGCTCCGTTAGAGTGGATATTTACAGATGGCAGCTTTGTCTGCGGAGAGTAAATTCCAATAAAATAACTTGATTTGATATGGGACAGAGAACAACTACCTGTACTATTTTGTGGTGAGACTAGTTTCTGCTAGTGCAGATGAGAAGTTTCTCGATTTACAATTGATAATGAGAGTCAAGTAGGAGCCATGTTGTGGTGTCCTCTCACTTTCCATATGGAGACTGTATTCTGATTTTAGTTGAAATTAATATTATTTCTGTTGAGTTCTCTCTTCATACTTTGCTTTTGTCTGAAAAATAGGCTGCTCTATTAGATGCATGGCAGCTCCCTAGGGATGATACAAGAATGCTGACATCTCAGAGTAAGATTTATAGATTAAAGGTTGTGAAAGATTCCCTTTGAAACTAGGCATGGAATTTTTTCAACTTGTTCAGAGGCCTGACTTTTTATTTATTTAGGTTTCTATGGTGTATGACTAGTTGCATCTATCTCTTCTGCAAAGTCGTCAATTTCCAAACAGACAGAATTTAGCAAAACAATTTTTATTGTATGCAGACATGTTGAGGAAACAGATGTGCTTTATCATTTGGACCTTAACTCTTGGCATCCTACTGGTGTTGGCTAGCTCATAATGTGTTGTTAAGATCTATTTAAAAATTGATTAATCTGACAAGATTTGTTGTTTTGTGAGGGTAGCATTGCCCTTGAGACAGGTGGAAAAACGTGCTTCCGTAGTTCTAACAGTTTCTGTTTCTGTAAGAGAGTCTAAAATATGTGGAGAAGGGTGAAGTAAATAGCCTTTTCACAGAATGTTTGTACTGAAGAAGAAAACTAGTCTGGTGTTTTTAAAAATATGTAAGTGATGGTGAAGTAAATGTTCACACTTAAGATTTTCCCCTGAAGTGAGGTGTTTATTCAAGTGGCAGCTTTTTCTTGTGCTTATTTACAGAAATTAGATTAAAAAAAAATTGTTTACAGTGAAGACCAAATAGATTGTGTGTGTGGAGAGAAAATGGATAGCCCAAGGAAACGATCAGAAGACTTGCTTTTAAAGAATGGCATAAAGAGAAGTCAGTTCAATTTGTTTTTTTAGTCTCTGTAATAGGAAAATAGCAGTAATAATCCAATATTCAGCTGTTTGACAGGGAGAAACAGAAAAACAGATTGAGATTTGTTACTACAAAGTAACAAAGAGAAGTGTAGGCATGCTCTGCAAAACTCTTTCTGGCTATTCAAAAGTGAAAAAAGTTTATTTTAACTTCTGCTCCGCCCCATCCCACCCTCAATCTGTACTAATTAAGATCAAAAAGACTAAAAGTTTTTCAGCGGGTAACAGACACATGAATTCTCTCCAAGGAACCAACATTTTTATTTGAAATTTTCCAATTTGGTTTTATTGTTCATGCCGATGGTATGCTTCCTTCCTCCCATGCAGTGAGAATCCATTTTGGATCTGTCAAAAGAATCTTCAGATTGTCCTCTGAATCAGAGCTTGTTTTGAGGGATCTGGGGTTATCCTTTGTTTCTAAAAATTGTTCAAGACCTGAGGAGCAAAGAAAGAGATACTATTGACTACAGCCACTGTGCTCTTCATTCCTTGCCATGTATACCAATACCGTGTGTTGATTTATCTCCATCTTTGGAATGGGAGCCGATATCATCTTCCAGATGTGTAGGACCAGTATGTAGGACCAAGAAAATGACCTTTTGTTTGATACTTGCATTTTCTTTCACGTACTTATAACTCAACCAAGATTTACAACATCTACTGGCATAGTCCTCAAAGTCATTGAAACTCAAAAAGCTTTGCAGAATGTGGCCTGACAGGAGAGCCACAGAAAAGTTCTTCCTTTGGCAACAGGAAATTTTTGAGTCATTGTGTGAAATACGCATTGGAGGGGGGAAAAGGGCTGGATTTTTGCCCTGTTGGTTTCCCTGAGCTTTGCAAATCATTTTATACTTAACTATTTGCTTATGCTTTCTTCAGCAAAAGATGGTGCCACAGAATCAGACAAAGTAGACCTGAAGTTGTGTCATGTCATCATAACTTAGTGCCATTTTAGATGAGAGAAATGTTCTGTATTTAGTTTATCTTTAGAATTTGGTAAGACCTTAGTTATAGGATTTGCAGCCTGTTTTTTAATAATGTAAGTGTTAAGATAATACTACATAGCATTACCTCACCAGATGAAACTATTTACTTTAATTAGGAGGCAACCTCTGATAACCACTAGTAATATGGACAGGAGAAATTGCGTGTTCTTTAATGTACTTTGTGTTGATTTGGATGATCTTAAAAAGTTGTCAGTGATGAGAGAAGATAATCCTCCCTGTGGCACTAATTGTATTTTCATATGCAAATTATGGTAATGACTTGAAGAGCTGCAACTTTCTTATCCATATCTCTGCATTTTATAGCAGTGTGTAGTTAATAGCTGAATTTTAAGCTCTATGCTGAGGGCTACTGATTTGAATGTTGATACTATATTTTAGAGCACTAAGGGAGGAACAACTGTGCAGCCACCTTAGTTAATCATTCTTTCTGTTTTGGCATCCTTAAATACTGGCCCATCCTGGAAATCAAGTGCCCCTGGAAATAAAAAGGTTGTTCTGATGTCTAGTTCTGTTTGATTCATATTTAATGTGAATCTTTCTAATGAGACCTCTTCTAAACTGTGATCTTGGGACCAGTAAAGCATTTTAGCACTTAATCTAGAAAGAGCTTTTAGTAGTACAGACAAAAATAAAATAGAGCTGCTAAGCTTAAAACTCTGACTTTTAGGCAGAAGAAATAGAGGGATGGGGAATATGTTACCTGAAGTAGTCTTTGAACTGAGATCTGATGCAAAAACTAGATGATTTGTCACCCTTCTGGTACTGGTCCGTATTTATAAGATGTGGCACTGTGTCAAGAATGTTTACTTGGATAACTTCATAACTATTAAAATACTGGATAGAGAATACTTGTTTAATTACCAGGGTGTGTCAGAGTGTATAATCTTTACGTATAATTCTGTCTGGTGGTGGGAGTAACACTTTATCCTTTATTGACTTTTTGAAAAAAATACTTATCATAGATAAATCGGCATAGAAGACGCAAGAATATTTTTGTTGCTAAAGTAAGACTGTGCATAGAAGCAGAGAAGAGATAGTAGTTCATTTATATTAGTAGAATGTTGAGATGAATGGAAGAAATCTGTAGTCTGTCCCTTGGAAGTTGATGCTCATTTTCTGCTTCAGAAGGTATCCTGGGATGGCCTGGGCCCAAGTCACACTCCACAGAGCAACTGAAAAACGGTGCCCTCAGCTCCTTATCATCTGCTAGTGCCAACATTACATGGGCAATAGTACCATCTGCAGCCCAGGATGGACAGGCACTACAAGCAAATACCGAGGTAAGCATGCTGGGTCTCTACAGGCTATTTCAGTTTTATCTGAGACTTGATGCAAACCATGTATGATGGTGCATACTTCTATTAATTACTTATTGTACTTTTTTCTTTATAGCACCCTATTTGTTTGAAATCAGTTGTGAAAATGCAGTTTCATGCAAAAATGCACTCTAAAACCCAGAACAATACGTTGACAATATTGCTGTGTGCTTTTGCTTCTCTGAGGTACTTTAGACAGGGACAGCAGACTGTGGCAGTCTCTTTTCTAGTTGTAAAAGCAATTAACAGACTGTCAGTACATATTTCTGTCTTTTGTTGGTAGAAAAATCAGTTTGTTTTTTTTTTTTTTCTAAGACAGACATAGAGACAGGAGACACTAGGACCACAACATTTGCTTGCTACTTGTTCTTCTGTGTTGCTGTTTGCTCTTGGGTGTCTCCTGAGTCAAGCTGACTGTTCTTTGAGTTGAAAAGACCCCTTTTCCTGTTAAGTGATTATGGGCAGAACTTGTCCACATCATCCTGCTCCAGCCTGTTGATTTGTGCTTTTGTGGCATTTACTTGGTAAAGGGCAGTTCTGAAGCATCGACTCTTTGAGGAGGCTCACAGCTGCGTATCAGGAATCTCATGCACTGAAAGTCTCTCATCATGCCAAACTTCTCCAGCTTCTACTGTCTGCTTCGGTTACCAGTGCTGCCCACCAGGAAAACACTTCACTCTGAGACCCCACAGATTGTAGGGCACCTGGAGCACCTGAGACCTGGAGAACTGGGAAGAAGTTTTTGAGAGAGCTGAAGAAACCCTTTTCTACTAGTGAATGCTGTTTGGCAATTGCAATGGCTTAAATTAAGTTATATCGCCTTTAACAAAATGTGTAATGGCTGGGGACATCAATAAAGCTGTTCATTTTCCCAGTTCTTTTGTAGTATCTTGAATTGAATATAGCTCAAAAAATCCAAGGCTAAACCAGATTTTTGTTTTTAATATTATGTATTACTTTTGTCCTTAGAAAGTAATTTCAGATTCTGTTACTCCTAGTGTCCATTAATCACGATATTTAAATTACCTGTGGTTGCTTTTTATTAGGAAGTTGTGTAATTTCTTTGCCAGATAAGTCAACTGCAGTTTTTATAGTGGGTTTTTAAAACGAGGCTATTTAAGAATATTATTTTGAGTTTCTATTTTACTCAATGATACACTGCAATTTGTTTCAGTAGTTTTTTTTGGATGTTTTTATTCTTGACCACCTGATAAAGCCGAATGGAATGTGTAAGCATGGCTTTGCAGCAAGAACATAAAGAGCAGCAGCTGATTTAACTCATCTCACGGTATCATTTTGCAGTTGAGTTGAGCCATTTATGGCTTATTTTAAATTACTTTTTTTTTTGTTTTATGTATAAAAGGAACTGCGCATCATCACACTCCGCTTCTTCCCTACTCCAGATAAGATACATTGTTGTTAATAACTGCAGTGGCATCAGCTGAGAATGAGAAAATGCATCTAGATGTCATTGTTTGACAAATTTTTGACATTGAAGACCCTGATTTGTTTTTTTGTTTATCTGGCAGTTTCTTTTAGATGGGGAAGAAAAGAGGAAGCTGCAAGTGTCATTCAAATGAAGCTTATTTCACTTAATGATTTTCTTTTAAAAATCTCCAAACTAGGCACTTGGATGATCCTCATTTCTGAAGAAGTTGGTAGTGTATTAATGGGGCTCAGCTTTCAAAATATACCTGCCAAAAGAAGCTTTTACAGAAGCTTACCTGCTTATACAGAAGTTCTGAGAAGAGAGAAAGAGAGTGCTGGTTCCTCTATCAGTGCTGTCAAAATTAATTCCAATTTTTTCTTTGACTAAGCCTAGATTTTTGTTTTAAAAAAAATCTGTATTTTTTTATGACATAACCTCTACCTCTTAGTCAGAAGTTTTACCCCAAAGGAATGGGAGAGAGCTTTTTGGCTAATGCTCAGTGTAATACAGAGTAGATGCACCGACCAAACAAATTGTGAATTGACCTGTAGTCTGAAATAGAAAAAGCCATTAAATTGCTACCCTTGAGGAACAACCGACTCAGCTGCTTGTATTATAGAATGTTATTTATAAGGAAAAGATAATTTTAGGTACGTGGATCAGCACTGATTTTAAAAAGAAGAGAGAGATGTTTGTTATGTTGCAGAGGGATCTTTCCCATATAGCAGGCTGCCACTGGCAGCAATTTCCTGGCAACATGACCAGGTGCCTGAATGTGTTTAATGATAACTGTGTTAATTCTCAGCACAGCATGTAGACGCTTTGCAGCGGTGCATTAAGCAACGTCATTAACAAACCAATGACTTGTTCTCCGCCATGTTTTTTATACGTTTATGAAGAAGCATGGATCTTTATAATTCTCCTGGAAAAGAAGGCTCTTCTGATGCAATTTCCTTTGAGTACTTAAGCATTCTTGAGGGATATAGTAAGTTCTGAAGTTGAATTTTTATGCTGGAGATAACTGAACTAAAACCTTTCTTTTGATCTGTCACATTGTCAGTGTTTCAGGAATGCAGTTTCTCCTCTGGTGAAATAATGTAGCAGCTAAAGATTCTTTTTAGATAATGTGTTGGTGTTTACTTGCTTTTGTTATTTAGGGTGTTTCTTGCTTCCAAATGCAGGGATATAATTTGAGGTATTGCTTAAACTAGTTCAGAAAACACAAGATTTTGTGGTAGAGGTTATTTTCTTGTGTATTCCTTGCGTATTTTAGCATGTCCTTTCTTGATGTTGCTGTTTCGTCTTCCTAGATCAGTGTTCTTTAGGGTTGTGACATAGGACAGGATTAAGTTAAAGACTGTTATCTTCACTGAAAGAAGTGAAATGCTGGGTCAAGCACCTTTTGTCTTTTTTTTTTTTTTCCTTCCTATATATAACCCTCCAAGTTTTAGTTAGTTTTTCTTTTTGGATTTTTTTGGTCTGTCCACCTGAAACATCAGGTGGAAGCAGGGAGAAGGGCTGAGCTAGAGAGAGCTATTCTTCATCTGATGTGAGTTGATGTAAAACACTTTTGTGCATCCCCTAGTGAACCACTTTGGAGTTTTTCATGTAAGATATGTAATAATTTGTAAGTATTTTTTAGGGTTTTTCCCTTAAAGCAGAACAGGACAAATCCGATAGGGAATATAGCAGAGCACGTTCTTCAGAGCTGTGACATGAACGTGGCCTATGTCTAGCCTGCAGTAAATGGGACCCTGCTTACTTCATTTAAGGGATTATAATTTTGAAATTCCTTTTAAGAAAAAAAACCAAACAACTGACATTGATTAGTTTCAAAATACGGAGTCTGATAGTAAATTCGTTTGGAATAAACTTGGTGCCTAAGTAGAATAAAGGTGTGAATCACTTCCATGTGTGAGCTGCTCTTCCAGTTCACCTAATTGTCATTTTGGGTGTCAGAATTCCCCTTTTGAGCTGAGAAAAAAATGGCAGGCCAAATGCTTCCCCTGGCAGCCGAATACAAATGGGAAACAGGCTGTTTTTATGTGGGACCTGAGAGGGAAGCAATCATTTTCTTTACATCTAACAGTTTAGTTAAGAAATATTATAAAAATCGTACTGTAGATACACGTGCAATTTAGCTCACTTCATGTGATTTTTATGTCTTAAAATGCCACGACAGCTGATTCTTTCCATCCCGTGGATTGGTATCTACTGAGTCTCTCTGCTTTCCTGTCCCTAACTTTCCCTTGCTTATGCACATGAGAAACTGTACACATGCTCCATATTGAAGTGTCTTTTTAATAGGATTGAAGTTTTAGCTCTGTAGGATTGAGGCTTTAGCTCTGATTATCTAACTGCTAAACCAGGTTTTAATTGTGATAGTGATTGCAAGGGCAGTCAAGTCCAGATCATTAAAGATATTTTTGTCCCCTAAATGATCTGAACTTTGATGTTTTCAACTGTGTGAAGGAACTGTGCTATTTATAGGAGATACTGAATTGCTTAGTTCTTAATTTTAAAACATTACGTGTTTTTGTCCAGTCTCTTCAGGTGATAGTCACTTTCAAGCTGAAGTTGTTGTTTTCTATCTGTAGGTTAGTATACATCCAAATATGATGATACATCATCCTTTACAGAGGATGTAATAGCCTTTAAAGCTATTACAGAATGTGTTAGAGATGCTAAGAAATAATTTTAGAAATGCTTCTGCAATTTTAGAAGCTAAGCTAGATACAAGAAATTATTTCTAATTCAATAATACCTTTTCTTTATATATCTATGTCTCAGCAGACTTTCCCAGGACTGTGGGTTGTTTCCTAGTGTAAATTTTTCCTAGTGTTTCCTAGTTCCTTTTTGTACCTGCCATAAATCTGTGTAATTGATGGAGATCAGCTTAGCCATGAACGTACAGCGCTGGCTACGAGTGCAGTAATGGCAGGAGAACAGATCAGGGTGGGAAAGGAACATCTGCAGTATTAACAGAGTCTCTTTGCGCTGTTTAGTACAGACGTTACAGGATGTCTGAATGTGCTCTACTTTTTGCCTTCTGCATGATTAAGTACTTTTTGGGCCGAAGAGTGCAGTAAATGGCCTGTAATGACTTGGATAGATAAATTAATCTCTAGGCAAAGACAGTGCCAGTTAATCCATTCACTAGCAGACCATCTAAAAAATGAAATCTGAGATAATCAATTGAAGGTATATTTAAGGATAATCAAGGGAAGGTATATTTAAGGATTAAATGTACAATTACACTAAAAGTAGAATTAAATGACCCTAAGCCTGCTACAGCAGCACTGACAATGACTAAGATAATCTAACTGATTTTGATTTTATTTTTTTGGTAGCTTTCTGAAATAGTTACTGTGTCAGCAATCTCTAGTAAAACTGTTTATGCAAATAATTAATAAAAATTTAGCTCCAGCCAAAGGCATTGCATTTTGTTGAGTCACTCCCGTCTCCAAAATGCATGAATTCCAGCTGGTATGTATATAATATGCTTGAGAGTAATATTCTACTTAAAATAAAAATA